AAGAGCAGAGTGTTGTGATCCTGGAGAAAAGAAAAAAGAAACACTGGAGAACAAAAATATTACATCTCTAAATAGCATCCTCATCAAGCTTACTGCCTGCTTAGTGCTGATTATGTGGTGACCGAGATTATGTTGCAACTGAACACATGCTGATGCCAGAACGTGACTGATAACAACTAGGGTAGTGCATCTTGCAACTTTTCGGCCACGATAATAGCATCCATCCACTGGCAAATTGCTTTATCTGACATCGAAAACGAAACTACTGTGAGATCCCTTCATCATGAAAACCTTGCAATTGCTATGCTCATGACAGTGAAAAGAAGGTAGAGGCCAACAAGGCAAAAGCCCCAGAACCTAGGCACCCGAAATCTGAACCAAGTAACCACCAGCAGAGAGCCCATCAAGCTCAGTAGAAGAAACACAAAAGCAATCACAATGCCAACATGGAAGCGGAGCTCATAAGCTACTGGGTAAACGCTGGCTGTCTCAATCACCATTGCAGTTCCCAGACCGACCAGCATGTTAAACATGGGACCAGCAAAGCAGCCTGCCATTGCCATAGCCGGCTGACCTGCCTTTGCCAAAGCCACATCAGCAACAAGGTCACCTACTGAGTTTCCCCATGCCAGCACTGTCAACCCAAGAATTGCAGGGGGCAATTTCGTTATGATTCCTATTGTTTCCAAACAGTTCAATAGTTCCCCTGCCATGGTTGAGATCCAAAACACACTCATCATGAAGGCAACTAAAGTACCTGAAATGCAATCTTTTTCTGGAGGGTCCCTCTCAAAAATGAAGTGAACCAGTGCAAGAGAAAAGCTTGTGAGGACAACAACAGACCATATTGGTAAACGGATTTGAGGGATTAGGAACACAATTTGCCTATCCAAGGCAATGAAGGAGCTCAAAGAGTATAGAAGAATGAGGGGGCACAAGCCAATGTTAGCTGAAATGTAAAATCTGCTCCATTCAGAAGGTGATGGGACAGTGAGCTTCAAAAGAGTTGAAACTGGAACTGCCCATATTTGTGTTACCTGTCTAATAATATGTGCAAGTACTTTAGAAGCATGAATGAAATAATTAATGGAAAAGCCATTTCTTAAATGGATTGACAGAAATACATATAGAAAGAGAAATATTAAAGCTTAAGAATTAAATGCTAATTTCATCTCTGAAACTTACACGAAATTCTTCAGAAAAATAAGTCACAAGATTGTAACAAGAAAATCCCTCTGTTCAGTTGACCACATCAAAAGTGAGCATATCAAAAGTGAGATTTCCACTAACCCTTGAGCATATCAAAAGCGAGATTTCTAAAACCTGTTATTAGGGACTATATTGATTATGAAATTTTCACTAACCTTTTAGCCAAAGTTTCTGAAATTTGCAAGGATGGAGTATGCATTGTTAGTCACCACTCACCGGCTTTAATCCCCGTTTGGGATGCTCTTCTTGACAATTACCACTTTCCCCCATTCTCGAAATGATTGTGTGGTGTGGAAGCCTTCAATTTCCGATGTTTTTACACTTAAATTAGCTTACACAGCTATGGATGTGCCTTCAAATATGGTTGCATGGAGTAATCTTGTCTGGTTTAAGGGCAACATACCATGACATTCCTTCATAACAGGTTGAGCACTTTGGATAGATTGATAAAGTGGGGAATCTGCACCAATTCCTCCTACTTATGTGGTCAAGGAGATGAAACTGTCCACTTATTCTCTAATTGCACTTTTTCATCATGAGTGTAGGGAGGCATTTTGAGCTGATGCAACCTATCCCACTCGTCACAAAGGTGGAATGCAGAATTGACATGGGTATGCAGTCATTGAAACAACGAGAGTTTCATAAGTCTAATCGGGAAACTATCTTTCATAACTACCATATATCATATCTGGGCTGAGAGGAACTGTAGTTTTAAGTCAAGCACCCAAAATCTCCAAATGTCATTATCTCAGCCATTGTGCAAGATGTGAGCAGAAGAATGCAAAACGAATCCACAACTGTAGCAGACACCGCATCAACTAGAGGTCATTGCTGCTAATTGGAATCTATGTCCAAACTTCACAACTCCCAAGTCTACATATAGCACCACTGGACCCCTCCTGCAAAGGGTATTATTGCCATAAATACTCTTCACTTCCATGGTTGGGTTGGGATGTGTTTTCCGAGACCATTTTATAATCCCCCTTTTTGCTGTGGCAAAAGGTAGATTAAAGGAAGGTATTATTCTACTACATGAATTACAAACTATCCTCCTCGACCTTTTTGAAGCTAGAAGACGAAACTTTTATTTGGTCCATCTTTGGTCTGATTCACAAGTCGCAATGGATATCCTCAACGATCGCTATAGTATGCCATGGTGTTGCTGGATTACTTTAGAGTATATTCATGCTATTCGAGAGAGCTTCGAGATTTTGGAATTCCTTTTCATCCATCGAGAAGCTAACAAGCCAATCGACTTCCTCATCCATCTGGGTAAGTCCGAGGAGAAGATCTTGCCGCCCCATTTTTTGTCAATGATTACAAATAAATCCTTATACTTCTCTTTATTTTCACTAAAAGACTCTTAAATCATTTTCTTGGCTCTATCCATAGCCTCATAAATATATCTCATTGTAGGCTTTTTTTCATTACTTGTCAACCGAAAGACTCAAACAAGAGGACCTATTACCTTGAATGTATAAATTATATAATTCCAAAAAAGAATGACATTAAAATGATATCACTGGACCTCTTACATTTCACTTTTTTTGCCCATTTGCTTGTCACCTATTTCTCTAAGATAAACATGCTTCTCAAGTTGTGTTTTTGACAATATACGCTTTGTAATGTCAAGAAGTAACAAATCGGGTGACACCATACTCACCAATTTCTTGCTTCTTATCAATCCTCTCATTATATTTAAAGTCTCAATATGATTATAGAGAAATCTATTGACAAATATTGCTTTTTATAAAGTCTTCTTGAAGTTAGGAATCTTTTTAATATCCTCCAGTATTAGATCAAAGCAATGTGTCACGCATGGAGTACAAGTATTGCCTTTTTGCTTGAAGTAATTTACCTAAGACAAATTATAATAAAATTGATAAGATTTAAGTCACATTGTACACTAGTCATTCAAATTTGTGACATAGAGTAACTAAAATTTTAAAAAATTGAAAAGATAAATCTTATCATCTAAAACATAGTTACTTCCATTGTTAGTTAAAACTTGGATGACATTTTGCTAACTAATTTCTTTTACAAACTTGTCAAGCAACTCATATATCTTTTCTCTATATTTCATTAAAGAAGATGCATCTATTGACTTAATAAACATGGTTCCTAAAGAACAAGTGATCATAAAATTATTTATATTTCTTTGTCTCCTATTGGCCCCAAGCATCTGTCATAATAAAGCAATCATGCTTTGCTCATGATTTTTTATAGTCTTTCAACAAGTCATTTGTATAATCTAATTATTTCTTTATTAATGAAACTCGCATCTCATGATAATTTAGAGGTTTCAATCCCCTACCATATCTTCCAATATATCCAATTATCTTTTTAAAACTATCCAACAACAAGCATTAAGGGGAATTCGAGCCTGATAGAAGAAGCAAACAATGTGTTGAATTGTTCTTCCCCTTATTTCCTGATCACGAGCATCACTTATATTTGTTTGTCTTACTTTTGCTCATGTTTGACTTTGATGCTTTTATGATCTTTAATATATATATATATATATATATATATATATATATATATATATATATATATATATATATATATATATATATATATATATATATATATATATATATATATAT